TAGTTTGATCATACATATTTCAAAGTTGAGGATTCATTATTTTGATATAGCTTGAACAAACACTATAACATCTTAGTTGATTAGTTTATTGACAAAACATACTATATATTTAACATATGAGCAGAAACTCCTAAAAAAAGCTTATTTGATGTCTATTTTAGAGTAAAAACTTTATCCAAAACGAGTCAACGAAATGTTGTCTGTTATTTAGTCTGTAACAGTGCGTATCTGTGCGTTCATTCATTCATTCACACACACACACACAAACTGTGTGACACAAACATGATTCACATTTAACAGTATGCTATTTTTCCGTTTACAGACACTACGTTATTCTATATCGCGATTAGAACAAAGCACTTGCAAAAAACACTTACTTCTCAGCTGAATCTGTTCATCCTCGAAGTGAAAATAACCCAGTGGTAAATGTCCCAGGATTGTTCCACATATAGCCGCGCAAGACGACAGTAGATTAATCTGACTAAAAAATAATGTGTGTTTTCAGAGTTTATGGGCGTTAACGCGTCTCAATGTGTTGCTTCACATATTTGCGTTTGAATAGCGCGTGCTCTCCGTAGGCGTGTCACATTACCACAGATAATCAGCTGAGAGAACGATAATGAGATGGGCTGACACGTCTCTCTTTTTATATAGATGACATAAACGGAGAATAATAATTTTAGTTTTGAATCGGATCATTTAAAAGTACAAACTCAAATGATTTAAAAGATATATTGCTTATGGCTGGGTGAATAGTATTAGCTGAGTTGTGTTGAAGATTAGAGACGTGCTCCAGAAAAAAAGTTCACGGTGACCGAGAGGCAGAACGCACACCCTGTTTATTTTCTTTATTTTACAAAAGCACAATATTTTATTTCGATTGTATGTGGGCACATAAAAAAGTAGACATTTAACAGATTATTTTCTCATATTTCTTAACTCTATATGAACAGAAATGATGGTAGTACTTTAAGTCTATTTTTCTGCTATGTGAAAAAAAACGAGCAAAACGCGCCGGCGCGTTTCTGGTCCCCAGAGGGTTAAAAGCAAATATCTTCCTTTGCTTTGAACTTTGAGCATTGTAAATTTGCAGATGTTTATGCTCTAACAGCAACACTACACACTAACACAAGTTAGAAAAAGTGAAATCATAATCAACAACCCCTTTAAAGAAAGCATGCACATGCAGTATAGGAACTGGCCCCAGGCTCCAGAGTCCCCAGTCTTAATCCAATCAGCAACTATTCAAAGAATGGGGCCGGGGCTCCCAGAGCCATTAAAGACAAAAGGTGCGAGTCTCAGTAATCTGGACTCGTTTGACTTACAATAAAAAGAACGGGACTGGCAGGAACCTCTTGCTAAAACCTTTGCTTAACAGAATCATTCATCTGATGTTATCATCTTTACCTTAAATGCTAAATACAATGGACCTCCCCTTAGTTTTTCATGTGGTGTTATGTAAGGATGAGCAGATCTTAAACGTGTAATCCCACAGCTAGTAGGAGAAATGCTCATCATCTTGTGAGAAAAAGAGTGCTCGCACATTTATTGGATGGACTCAAATTATTAATGCAGCTCCCATTACTTGCAGCGCATCACTTAGGCATCCAACAATATAATCCAACAATATAATCACAATGTAGGTTTTATTGCCACAGTGAATTGTAGGCAGGCATTATTGTCATGGAGATCCTCCCAGCAAGGTCAGACACCTCGATTATTATCGTACATTACTAAATGGAATTATGCCAGATGAGTGGGGACTAAATTGCATAATGTGAGATATATTAAGATGAGCTGTTTATTACTAGGCAGAAGTTAGTGGAGGATGGTGCTTGGCGGACACAGATGTCTTCATAGTTTAGACTCTATACTTATTATTGGTTGACCCTAGTCAAGTCACCTTTATTTAGATAGCGCTTTTTACAATACAGATTGTATCAAAGCAGCTTCACAGTGATAACATGAAAATAATACAACAAAGTTTGCTTCTAGAAGAAAATTGCGTCATCGTCCACCTTAAGTAAGGCAGATCAATAATATTGTTGAATATTAAATGTCCCCAACTAAGCAAGCCAAAAGCCAAGGCAACAGTGGAGAGGAACCCAAACTCCATCAGGGACAGAATGGAGGAAAAAACCTTGGGAGAACCCAGACTCAGTCGGGGGCCAGTTCTCCTCTGGCCAATGGAGGAACAGTGTGTGATTCGGGCAGCATTACAAGTCAGATTGGATCGGAACATTTAGAGTATTTATCCATTTCCATCTGTTTGGAAGTGGAAGTAATCACGCCGGTATGGAGACGAGTTGTTGAGGATCAGTGCCGATGGCGTCGTGTCGATGAGGCCTTCACAGGGCTGATGAGGCTGGCACTTCAGGATGAGTTGGGATGGGTCCAGGCCAGTGTTGGGCATGTTACTTAAAAAAAGTAATTAGTTATAGTTACTAGTTACTTCTCACAAATAGTAACTGAGTTAGTAACTCAGTTAAATCATTATAAAAGTACCTAATTACCAGGGAAAGTAACTATTGCGTTACTTTAAAAAAAAAGGTCAAATAACTTGGATGCCCCCAATATTACAAATGTTAAATTAATGAAATGGACACTATAGAATAAGTTATTATAAAACATTGTGTCTACACTATTGTAATGTTGCTGTGGGACAATGTGAGAGACACCTATTCAATTCAATTGCCTATATTATTTTAAATATTAGCATTACTATAGTATAACAATAAAACACAATAGATGGTTTAGAACTTTTAATATTTGATATTGCACAGACCACAACTGGCCAAAAAATAAGTCTAAAAATAAATTAATCTTCTTGTAGTGCAAATTAAAATGATAAACAGTTTAACAAGAGCTCCCAGAACGTTCGCTGCAGGTTATTTTTTAGATTTTACACACGCGCGTTGTTACTAAATAAACAATATCTGGCACTAAAAATAAATATGGGAAAACAAAGATACCAAAAGAAATAATGTGGGAGAGAAGTGAGAGAGCTCTCACTCCTAGTCACAGGTCTTTATACTAACCCCTATGGTGAGTTAATTAGGGATTGCATACACCTGTTGCCCAACTAACGTCTGCACTGTGTAGCAGAGCCAGTAGGGGCAAACAGGCAGGCGTAACAATGCCATCCTTCTTATGATGTAACGAGTACATCAGGATTTACGGGACGTGTTCCCGGTTACGGCTGATCTAATCTATGCAGCCTAACATTGAGTTATAGAAGTCTATAGTGTGTTGTGTATGCTAGGCCAAAGAGATGTGTTTTTAGTCTAGCTTTGAACATTGAACAATTTGAAATTTGAACACAACACAATATGCGTGATCAATATTTCAGACAGTAATATGCTACATTGTATGTCAACCGATTGGCTTACTTTGAATTGTCTCTGCATATTAAATAGGTAAAGGAGAAAATGTTTACATTAAAAATGGCTTTAAAGGGGTGGTTGATTGATTTAACTTTTCTAACTTGTGTTAGTGTGTAGTGTTGCTGTTTGAGCATAAACAACATCTGCAAAGTTACAACGCTCAAAGTTCAAAGCAAAGGGAGATATTTGCTTTTAAAGAAATCATTTTTTAAGGACTACAACAAACGGCTGGTATGGACTACACGAGCTTCCTCCTGGGTTAGTGACATCACTAACCCTAAAATTTACATAACCCCGCCCCCGGGAACACGCAGTCCATGTGGAGAAGAGGAAGAGCTGTTGTAGTCACTCTGTGTGCGTCTCACAACAGTTCCTATACGAGCGATTTATAGATTATCCTGACAGAATATGCTAATTGAAGATAGTTAACTCCATATCAGCAACATAAATTCATCAACTAACCATTCAGAGACGTCCTGTTGCTTCTACATGTTGTCACTTCTTCTTAGTCTCTCCATCTTTGTCTGACTCCGGTTTAAACATTAAAGGCAGAACAGTTTCTGACGTTTTAGCGTGTGTGTGTGTGTGAGGTAATCGGAGCTGCTAACACACAGGAGCTCTTGAAGCTCCGCCCCCTGTGTCGGGAGCTGCAGCTCATTTGCATTTAAAGGGCCAGGCACAAAATGGTGCGTTTTTGCAAACCCTCAAAAAGTGACAACTTTAACATACTATATAAGAATATCTGTGGGGTATTTTGAGCTAAAACTTCACATACACACTCTGGGGACATCAGAGATTTATTTTTACATCTTGTGAAAAGGGCATTATACCACCCCTTTAACCAATCACACGCAAATGGTTAAAACAAGAGAGACCATTATTAGATAGCTAGATAGATGTGACCAAAAGATCACTGTTTTGTTAATTTGAAGAAAGATGTTTTTCTGGGAAAATGGAGGAAATGGGTTAAATATGCATCAGAAAATAGGTCAGGTTTTGCTGCTATACATAAATATATGAAGATCAATATATAATGTGTATGTAAATAATGTGTTTGCATGTGTGTGTAATAATAATTCTTATAAGTAATTTGGGATTATAATAATAAATGTGAGGTTGTTGAGGATGGAATTTAGGACACATTTTTTCTCCCTGGGTGTAAATAGTTACCATTTTTCTTTACCCTTAGTTATTTTGTTTTATTTAACTTTTTTTTTCTTTTCTTTCTTTTTTTTTGTAAAAAGGGGAAAAATGTTATACTCTGAAACACTTTAACAAATCTAGAGTACAATTTATATTTAAAACACATTAGGTAATTGTAGATGTTTATATTTGTGATTGCATTGAGCACTATATGTAAACTGAATTATGCTATATGATCAAACTAAAAAAAAGCCTTTAACAGTACAATGACATAATGTGTAAAGAATAAGGTGTTCCATCCCGTTTGCTGCATTGACACTGGAAATGAAAGGTGTAGTTGAGCACAGTGCACTAGTGTACAGGAACAGAAGGGCGGCTCATCAAACACATTCAGACACAGTGTATTCTTTAGCTTGTGTGTGGCACTGGCCATACAACCTGAATTAATTCCTGTCTGATGTTTTTCTCATACAGGAGGTGATATGTCAGAAGAACATGGTAAGTGTTCTGACTCATGCTTATTTGCTGTCCTTTTATTTGTGTTTGTGCAGTTGTAGACTCATGTTGGCTAATCCGTTAGATTTCAATCCTGAAAACATGAAAAAAGATTTTTTTTTTTTAGTTTTGGTCATTTCATGTTATAGTTCAGGAGTTTGTAACCTTTTAGATGCCACACGGACCCTGAAATATGATCATCCTCATGTGAGGGACCCGACCCCTCAATTTAAAAGGCAGTTCTATATTTTCACGTATAAAGACCCAATTGATACTGTGGAAAAATTAGTATTATAAATGTTTTGATTATGTTACATTGAGTTTTTTTCTAGTGCTGTTATATGTATTATTTAAATAAATAAACAATATTTTACACATTTTTTTGTTATGTTATTAATCAAATGTTTTTGTTTTTTTATTTAAATCAAAATTTATTTTAATCCATTTATTATTTTATTCAAATTTGTTAATTTAGTACATTTGTGATCTTTTTTATTATTATTTTTTTAATATGTATATATTTTAATGACACTGTTTTTCTTTCAACTTTTCCTTGTGGCCCTCTGGGGGTCCTGTACATTGTACACTTTCCCTGTACATTGCTTTGTTGGTTTTAAAGTGGTTTTCTGAACTTGTGTGTGAAATGGTGATCTGGAGTCAATGTGGGCTCCAATGCTGTCCAGTTTAGACTATTGCCGAGTTATCCCGAACCATGGCTTTTTGTCATAGGTCACGAAAGGTGAAGTCCCCTATTGGAATCTCCATTCCCCATTAATTGCACTTAAACGAATGACCTGTACAGGGTTTCTGCGGATCTTAACACAAAATAAGGCCTAAAAACGTCTTAAATCAGAATAGAAAGTCTTAAATTCATAAAGTCTTGGCATTAAGGGTTGCATGCATTGCAGAGAATGAACATCTTCCTCAGTATTTCTGTCCTGTATTCCAATACAAATATCTGAGCGTCTTTAAATCAAGATACATTTACTTGAGATGCAAATGTAAAAGTCTTGAATAATTGAACAAAATTAATTGAGTTTATGCTTTGTTGTGGTGAACAATTTTCTATTACTGAATAAGAGACAGACATGTACCAATTGTCTTTAAAGATTATTTATTCAATCCCTTGCAAGGAAAGGTCATATCCTTCCTCCTTTATCCTTGTTCCTCCCCCAAGGTTGTTTTCCCGAGGCTAAATGAAGATATCTCTCAGCCATAACTAATACACTGTTTAGATTTGTCTATCATATTCCTCATATTATACCCTTGAATGGAGACCCTCTGTCTCATACACTTAGTCACACATTAACTTTTGTCATATACAAGGACATACATATATTCATAAGGATATGTATCGACACTACTTTAATCTAATTACCATCATATTTCTAAGATTCTATAAATATAATTATATGCGAACATATAGAACATATTAAATTGCTTCCACAGCTTAAAACAAGAAGAAATATCCTTTTGATTGAGGTTGTATTGGTCCATTGGCAAATAATTGTTCTTGTTTTAATCCAAAAACTTGCTTCATTTTGACCAATTTCACAGAAAACATAATTTCATGTTTTGTCGTTTTGTATCTCAAGTAAATGTATCTTGATTTAAGAATCTTTAACACTGGAAAACAAGACAAATATGCCAATGCAGTGTGAAGTTTGTGCATACCATATATTCTGGTGGTTGAGAGAAGAGCGATTCAAGCTACATTTTGTGTAAAATTAATTAAAGTAACGGATATCTTTTGGAAGTTGTGTTTTTTAAACTCTGGAGTGTTGCTAACAGAGCGCATTGTGGACATTTAGAGAACATATTGTATTGTGTTCCCCTAAATTTATTTTATTACATTTTCTTTACTTGGTCTTAAAAAGGTCTTTAAAAAAGTCATCCTTCATAAGACTAGCGGAGACCCTGCCTGTACATTATTCAGTGTTGTGCTCCACGGAAGGTAATCGTGAGGGTAGACAGAATTGTCGTTTTTGTGCGAACTAATTCTGTAGTAAGCCTATTTATTTTATACAATTGGTTACATTTTATTATGTGCATTTAGCAGTTTTACTACTGATTTATTCTTCAGTGTTCATGTTCAGTCGATATTAGTACTCAACTGCTTCGGTTTTCTTTCTATTTGTTCTTTTTCCAGACCTGTGCCGCTAATTACACGTTCATCCCATACATGGTGACGCCCCAGAGTAAGGTGTACTGCTGTGAGAGCAGTCTGATGAAGGGTCTGAGCGAGCTGATGCAGCCCAGCTTCGAGGCCCTGCTGGGGCCCATCTGTATGCCCCTGCTGGACAGACTCGCTCAGCTGCTCGCCGGCTGCAAGACCGACACCTGGTGAGGATCACTCCCTCCTTCATCCTTTATCTCACCGCTCATTTCACTCTCACTCTTCGAGTGGACCACGATCGTGCTTTGGGTGATTTTATACTGTAAATGTCTGTAATGGGTGCTTAATTCACCCAAAAATGAAAATTATGTCATTTAATGACTCTCCCTCATGACGTCCCAAGCCGGACGTCATGAAAATGTACACTCACCGGCCACTTTATTAGGTACCCCATGCTAGTAACGGGTTGGACCCCCTTTTGCCTTCAGAACTGCCTCAATTCTTCGTGGCATAGATTCAACAAGGTGCTGGAAGCATTCCTCAGGGAGTTTGGTCCATATTGACATGATGGCATCACACAGTTGCCGCAGATTTGTCGGCTGCACATCCATGATGCGAATCTCCCGTTCCACCACATCCCAAAGATGCTCTATTGGGTTGAGATCTGGTGACTGTGGAGGCCATTTTAGTACAGTGAACTCATTGTCATGTTCAAGAAACCAATTTGAAATGATTAGAGCTTTGTGACATGGTGGAAGTAGCCATCAGAGGATGGGTACATGGTGGCCATAAAGGGATGGACATGGTCAGAAACAATGCTCAGGTAGGCCGTGGCATTTAAACGATGCCCAATTGGCACTAAGGGGCCTAAAGTGTGCCAGGAAAACATCCCCCACACCATTACACCACCACCACCAGCCTGCACAGTGGTAACAAGGCATGATGGTTCCATGTTCTCATTCTGTTTACGCCAAATTCTGACTCTAACATCTGAATGTCTCAACAGAAATCGAGACTCATCAGACCAGGCAACATTTTTCCAGTCTTCAACTGTTCAATTTTGGTGAGCTCTTGCAAATTGTAGCCTCTTTTTCCTATTTGTAGTGGAGATGAGTGGTACCCGGTGGAGTCTTCTGCTGTTGTAGCCCATCCGCCTCAAGGTTGTGCGTGTTGTGGCTTCACAAATGCTTTGCTGCATACCTCGGTTGTAACGAGTGGTTATTTCAGTCACTGTTGCCCTTCTATCAGCTCGAACCAGTCTGGCCATTCTCCTCTGACCTCTGGCATCAACAAGGCATTTCCGCCCACAGAACTGCCGCTCACTGGATGTTTTTTCTTTTTCGGACCATTCTCTGTAAACCCTAAAGATGGTTGTGTGTGAAAATCCCAGTAGATTAGCAGTTTCTGAAATACTCAGACCAGCCCTTCTGGCACCAACAATCATGCCACGTTCAAAGTCACTCAAATCAACTTTCTTCCCCATACTGATGCTCGGTTTGAACTGCAGGAGATTGTCTTGACCATGTCTACATGCCTAAATGCACTGAGTTGCCGCCATGTGATTGGCTGCTTAGAAATTAAGTGTTAACGAGCAGTTGGACAGGTGTACCTAATAAAGTGGCCGGTGAGTGTATGTACGGTATACTATCCTTGTCCAGAAAGGAAATAAAGACATCATCAAAGTAGTCCATGTGACAGAACCGGAAGACAATACAATGCTGAATAAAGTCCTAGTTTTTGTTATTTTTGGACCAAAATGTATTTTCGATGCTTCAACACACTCTAACTAACCCACTGATGTCACATGGACTACTTTGATGATGTCTTTATTTCCTTTGTGGACAAGGACAGTATACCGTACACACATTTTCAATGGAGGGACAGAAAGCTCTCGGACTAAATCTAAAATATCTTAAACTGTGTTCTGAAGATGAACGGAGGTCTGACGGGCTTGGGACGTCATGAGGGAGAGTCATTAATGACATCATTTTCAGTTTTGGGTGAACTAACCCAAATTTTATTTGTGTAGTGCTTTTCTTATTGTTTCAAAGCCACTTCACAGAAATATATTGTGTTAATGTTTATAATATTTATAATGCCTTATAGTCCACACCAAGCAGTTCAGAGCTTAGCAATATGATAGCGTACATTTTGGCGATGCAGGGGTGACCGCCCCTTTTCAGAAGCTGCCCCGAGACTGTGGAACTATGCAAATATGGACTTTATGCAAAATAAATATAAGTATAAACAGTGTTGTGTATTGCACATGTTTATTGCCCAGTGGGGGCATTTACCTTCATGAAGTAGATGGCCTGTGAAAGAAACTCTTCTGGCTGTTCTGGTGCTCTGTAGCGCGACCGGACGGCAGCAGTCTGAATCCAGACGTGTAGAGGGCAGACTGTACGACTGCAGAGAGAGCTGTATTAGCAGCCTGTGGCAGGTTGACTGTGACTAGCGAAGGAAATGCAACCCCTGCTGGGCCTTTTCTCAATGGAGTCTATGGGCGTTTCACACCTGAAAGTCCTCACCAAGGTCCGAACCAAAGTTCACTTTTTGATACATTTTATACTTTCAGAAAGTTTTGGTTTGGTTTCTCACTGCAATTATGCGAGCGCAGTAAAGAACTTTACGTGACACACTCGCGTCCTGTCAATTCGGCGGGTAACTTTGACAACATGAATGAACAGACGCATATCGTTGCCACTATATTGGTATTTTTATGGCATAATTACCTGCAGCACCAACTATACTCAAGGCTAGTTCAAATTCACCAAATGAACGTCCTCGTCGTGCGAACATTTCATCGTCGCCGGCAGGAAAAGAGGGGAAGACTGCAAGTTGACTTCTTATTATGTCATCAGACCATTCTTCAATTAAAAACCTCGTCTCCTCCTCTCCCCATGTGCCACGGCTCATTTCTCCTGCCACCTTCTGTTTTTCGGCTATGCGGGAACCACCGGAGCGTCCTGTAAAAGGTCTGAAAGTCCGAACCATACAGAAATGCTTTCACACTAGAAACGAACCAAACCTTTGTTCAGTTTGATCCGGATCGAGACTACCTCTTTTCGTCGGATCAGATTTCATCTGTTTGGTCCGGACCGTGGTCCGGGGGAGGTTTCACACCTGTCATTTTGATTCGGACCAAACTGAAAAGTCCGAAAGTCCGGACCAAACAAGGCAGGTGTGAAAGGGCCCTATGAGTGTCCCATTTCAGGTCCTGAGAGATGGTAATGCCCAGTAACCTGAATGACTCTATTCATGATGACGATGGGTGGGGGGTTCTCCTAACGTCCACAACCTGCTCTGCTGTTTTGATCTTGTTCAGCTCCAGGTTGTTATGAACCAGCTCTTTAATCTCTTGTCTGTAAGCAGACTCGTCACTGTCCTGGATGAGGCCGATGAGTGTAGTGTCATCCGGAAACCTCAGGTCTTCTGCAGTGCAGTCGTTGGTGTAGAGGGGACGAGCCGTGGGGAGAGCACACATCCCTGCGGGGCATTGCCTAGCCTTCAGAAAGCTGGTCATCTAGATGAAGCTAGGAGCAGAGAGCTGGGTTAGTTTGGTCTAGAGGAGTGTTGTTGGGATGATCGTGTTAAAAGCCACAAACCGGATCCTGACATACGGAAGTCCCTGGTTTGTCCAGGTGTTGCAGGATATCCACCTTATTCCTGACGAGCTTACTGCGCTTCGAATTATGGGTGGCACTTCCGGTTTGGGGAACTTCCATTCAAAAAGGCTGAAACAAATCATTTCAAATCATAAGGTTGCCCTACAAATAAAGCCGATCCGTCAGTTTGACTGGATGAGCTGTCAATTTTCCTTCATGATTTATTTTCAGACATCATGAGATTAACGTAACCTGTTAGCCCGATAAGCAAACGGCAGGGGGTCCAGCCAGGGCTCAGTAATGCCCTTCAGGTGGACCTTAAAGCAACAGGTCTGTAGTCATTCAGCCCTGTGATTTTGGGTTTCTTTGGGATGGGGATGATGGTGGAGCATTCGAGACAGAAAGGGACTTCACACAGCTACAGTGATCAATGGAAGATCTTTGTGAAGATGGGGGCCAGCTGGTCAACACCGGATTCAGACACGCTGGTGAAACGCTGTTTGGACCTGGTGTTCTGTTTCCAGAAGACCTCCTCTTTACATGTCATAAGTGTGAGAGGGAGGGAAGGGGGGGTTGCTGGAGGTGTTGATGAATGCATGGAGAGCAGGTCAGAACGGGTGTGGGGCGTGAGACCAGACTTTTCAAACCTGCAATAAAACTCATTCAGGCCTTCAGCCGAGTGTTGATTCAACACGGTGTTTCATGGCCCAGATGGTGTAGTTACAGCATGTAGTGTACCAGCGGCTAGCTGTCCATACTAACTAATAAACTTTGGCATTGAAATATTCTTGATTTTTTTTTTTGTCCTTAGTTTAAATTGTTAACCCTTCTGGGAACGTACAATTTTAAGATTTGCATTCTACATAGGTCAGTAACTTTTTGTGTGGTTGTTTAGTCAGTACTTCCGTGAGACCGTTCTGAATGAGATCCGTAAAGCACGTGAGCTTTACACCGGAGCAGAACTGGCGGCAGAACTCAGACGGATCCAGCAGCGGCTCGATAATGTGGAGTGTCTTTCAGCCGATGTGGTCATCAACCTCCTCCTTTCATACAGAGATATTCAGGTGAGTGCATCACATAAGCTTTCGTTTGTTATTCACAGTGACTCCAAAAATGTTGTACTATCACTCATCACAATCCTGTTTACTATTAAAGGTGAAGTATGTAGTTTCTGGAACACTAGTGGAACCTGGCATGTTTTCGAACAACCTTGCAAACGCCCTTTCGTATGACGTGCCTCCCCAACTCAAACATCACAAATACCGCCTTTACGGGTGCTTGTGAAGGCATGTCCCAACAAGTAAAACTAGGCTACTTTCAATAAAAGGTCCAACATATTAGGAATACCTTTAGCTGTGGTGTTGTGTGTCATTGTAAACAATTGAGTAGACTAACACTACAGTCGCTTATAATAAACCCATCCAACGTATCTGCGCCGGGCTCATTTTTTGACATGAAACAACTGTTTCTGAATAGTGTAATAGGGCCTGAATTGAAGTGTCCACTGTAGTGCGTTCATGACCTGTTTAATCTTTGAAGGTCTAAATGCAGAGAATTTTGGCTTGCACTTCTGTCTTTTCCCCCATATAACACATAAGCCATGACTAAACGCCACATAACACCCTCTGGCTTCGCCTCCTGTAGTGGCCACGCCCCTAACTTATGCTATAGGTTGAGCTGACCGCTCTCAGTTTTTAGATGATGCCTGGGAGGCTCAATGTTTTCACTTTTGTGGGAGATTAAGCCTTGAATGGCATACTAATATTAGTCATTGAACATGATGTACACAATGAACATTAGACTGGGTTTAATTTATTTTAACTAGGGCTGTCAGTTAAACGCGTTATTAACGGTGTTAACGCAAACCCCATTTTAACGGCGTTAATTTTTTCATCGTGCGATTAACTGTCTTTTTGGCCTAGCAAACTTTGTAGTTTTTTCCACATGCTTTTGCAACAGGACGCGGCATGCGAGGCGCGGCGCTAGGAAACACATTCATTTCAATGGCTTGTGCCGTGCAAGGACGTTTTGAAAGCGCAAGCGGATCTAGCTAGACCGGAAAGAAAACAACAGGCACACACTGGTTTAGGCTTGCGAGCCGGCCAAATAGTTGGTTAACGTTACGTTTTGAGTGGATGACGAGCGCGAGACGCCGAAATGGATGCCAATAAGATTCTGAATGGAAAGTTTACTTATAAAAAGTTGCCAAATGGTTCCATTGACGAGACCAAAGTGATCTGTGTGTTTTGTCGTTGTGAACTGAGCCATCATCATCGCAGCACGTCCAGTCTGAAATACCACTTGATGATGGCCAAGCACACACACACACACACACACAGCTGAAGCGAATTCTCCGCCCCCTCGTCAATATCAGGACCTCGTCAGTATTTCTTTCACCCTTTTATTGATGGACAGTGTTACATTGAGAGATTATTTGCTCCAAGTGAGAATGTTAGTGTGAAATTGAACACAGTCAATAAAAAACATTTGCACAAAGCAAGCCGATCCACTTTTCCATGTTGATAAGAGCATTAAAATGAGAAAAAAGAATGTGACAAAAAAAAATCAAGAGACATTTAGAATAGATAAAAATGTGCGATTAATTGCGATTAATCGCGAGTTAACTATGACATTAATGCGATTAATCGCGAGTTAACTATGACATTAATGCGATTAATCGCGAGTTAACTATGACATTTATGCGATTAATCGCGAGTTAACTATGACATTGATTGCGATTAATCGCGAGTTAACTATGCCATTAATGCGATTAATCACGAGTTAACTGTAGCATTGATTGCGATTAATCGCGAGTTAACTGTGACATTAATGCGATTAATCGCGAGTTAACTATGACATTAATGCGATTAATCGCGAGTTAACTATGATATTGATTGCGATTAATCGCGAGTTAACTGTGGCATTAATGCGATTAATCGCGAGTTAACTGTGACATTAATGCGATTAATCGCGAGTTAACTATGACATTAATGCGATTAATCGCGATTAAATATTTTAATCGTTTGACAGCACTACTTTTTACACAAAAAAGCTTACATACTTCACCTTCAAAGATTTTCTTTATGCAAAAATTGAATGCAGTGAAGAAAAGAAGAAAGGGAGGATGTCATTGGTTGATTTAGGTCACACTTTAACAGGAGGTTCCAGATTCAACACAAGTAAAAAGGTGATGTGTGTAATTTTTCAGATCCTGCTCATTATGCAGACACAACATTTAGCCATTCATGAGTCTATTCTGCTGAAAACACCAATGGGCATTAGTTTTGCAAATCTGTTTGCTGACACTAGTAGCGCAGAAATTACACACTTTATTGGGAAGATATGTGTAAGCATGTGTTGTGCGGTTTTATTTCTACACAAATATTTTTACTTGTGTTTCAGTTTGTAAAACAAACTAAAATCATGTGTGCGATGCACTTACAATCGAAGTCTTTGGGGTCATAAACACTGAAATGCACAATTTTCGAAAGCGTCGACACAAAACACAAACATTATATGTGTTAATATGAGACTAGTGTGATAAAATTGTTTACTTTGTTTAAAATTATATCCAATATGTCAACTCCTGTCATGGCCATGTAAAGATGGTAAACCTTGTGAATGATGCATGATATGTGCTAGAAACCCTGTTTGCTTGGATCGTAGTCGACCCACAGGAGTTACCAGAGGCTCATCTCAGACATCCATTCAAACCACCGTCTTTACATCTCAAACACTCTTCTTGTTTAACAAAAATACAAGATGCACTTTTCTGCTTTATAACTTCAGGAATGTCTTGCATGCCCCAATACTTCCACTGTTTTGTACGACTGTGAACTCGCTGTTCGCACCTGTATTTATATACAGATCGTTTCAAAGCAGCTTAAGAGTGAAAACAGGGAAATTGTGCATTTCAGCTGAAGTCAGTTCAGTATTGATTCATTTCCGCTGTAAAGATCATACATTTTTAAATCAGTTAATGTCATCTATAATGCAGTTCTGCAAAAAAATGATGCCATCAGTTAGCTCAGTTCAGTTCTCATACAACAGCAATAATACTGTTGACTATTAAGTGTCCCGGAGCAAGCCAGAGGCGACCGCGGCAAGACTTAGCAATCGCCAGTGCGCCACTACGCTTCACTTGTGTTGAACTATTAACCTGTGATCGTGACGGGTCAATGTTAGCATGATTAGCTTTGCATAATAAAATATTGTCAAATAATGTTAGTTCTGGCATTTTCAGTTTGCTACGTCCAAGAAAAGTTGTTCACATGGAAAGAAAAGGAATCTCCCGTAGATTTCCCCTAATGCATAGGGCTGAGCTCGAGTAGTGAACGTTGGAAGAGGTGGTGTGTCCCCGGGCGTGGGCTAGCAAAAGGCAGAACAATAAAAGTGCTGTTGCTGTTGGATGCTGGAGTTGTGCACAGATCCGTTCAGTTTGGTTTTATGTGTTCAAGAGAGGATCCTGGCACTGTTAGTGTCTGTGCTGTTAATAAATGAATAAGAGGAGAACAGGAAGTCATAAATGCTCTGCTATCACTCTGACACACCTTTGGCAGGAAGTTACTTTAGAAAGTTCAAAACTATGATAAGTGACAGTTTTGCGTAGTTTCCGAACCTTCTGTGACCTTCAGCTCCTCCATTTATTTCTGTCTCTTTAACTTTTAACTTTATTGTCCCCAGGGGGAAATTAATTAATTACGTGTACTTTATGTAAATAACCTCTTTAATGTTTGGCCAACCTCTGCGTGTCAGCATTGTTCATCATGGTTTGTCATGTTACAGATTACTTGGGTGTAGGGGTTGATGTAAAACTGTGAGCGGTCAGATGTGATGTCATAATCATTAAGGTTTTGGCTTTGGAGCTTTATTTTAGTAGAAGTTTGGCTTATTTTGACGATCCAGTTCTTTCGAAGAGTTGAATGACTTGTTCATGGTTCAGCTTGATTCATTGGTTCATTCACGTTATCATCATGAGGTTTTACGCACTTAAAACACGGTTTAATAATTGGACATGACCAAAAGAGTGATTCATAAATGAATCGTTCAGTCCAATTTTCTAACATAAACGGATCAAAAGTACATTTCAAAGCTTCAACGTAAAAGAAAATGTGCCGAAGGTCTAATGAATTGTATGTACTGTATGTTTTTGTGATTAATAACACCATGTGCAGTTTAGGAGGATGTCTTGAATATTTCAGTGCTTTTATTTGAAGCAAATACATTTTACATGACAGAATCTTTCTCTCTGAACAGTGGGGTTTTCTATTATTTATTAAAGGTTTATAATAATATTTTTTTAAACAATACAAAGAAACTAAATAGAATTATTGATTCAGATTGTCATTTTTCATGTGTTGTAAGTATGAGGGTAATATAATAAAACAGGCTGGTGGTTAGGGGTTGGGAATCTTACAGGAAAACATTGGATCTGTTGTTTATTTATTATTATTATTATTATTTTTCTATATTTAATATTTTAATCATTTTTCTTTCAACCACAGTAATGTTTCACCATTGTCAGCGCAGCTTTGCATTCTGAATCCCCACAATTTATAATATTGTGTAATAAATATAAATGTTATTTGTCTGTCTGTAGGATTATGATTCCATTGTGAAGTTAGTTGAAACGCTGGAAAAGCTGCCGACCTTTGACCCCGTGGCTCATACTCATATAAAGTTCCACTACTCCTTTGCCCTCAACAGGTGAGACTAAGCATCTGAATGGCCTTAACTTGGTTTAGTTTACAGCATATGTTTACAATTACAGAAGTAATTTCACTTCACACTGAAAGTTTAAACATTGTGTGATACCACATAATTACAGCTAATCAGAATAATTAATGTTTAATACACTGTCGTTTGGGGTCTGTAATAGTTCTTAAATGTTTTTGGAAGAAGTCTCTTCTGCTCACCAAGGCCATTTAAAATACCTCTTTTTGATTTTAATACATTTAAAAGTGTAATTTATTCCTGTGATCAAAGCTGAGTTTTCAGCATCATTACTCCAGTCTTCAGCGTCACATGATCCTTCAGAAATCACTCTAATATGAGGATCTGATGCTCGAGAAACTTTGATTGTTTCTTATGTTGAAAACAGTTGTGCTGGGTAATATTTTTGTGGAAACGTCATGTTTTTTTAATTATAAATAGACAGTTCCAGGGAACAGCAAGTATTTAAATCATTTTTTGTAACATAAATGTATTTACTGAGTCTTTTGATCAATATAAATTGTCCTTGCTGAATAAACGCTTTAATTTCTTTAAAAAAACAAAAACAAACCTTCTTCTGAACGGTAGTGTATACAGTGAATGAGATTTTACCGTGGGCTGAGCTACTTAGAAATAACATCCAAGCGAACGATTTTAACAGAGAAAAATGTACACAAATCTTTTACCATTTATTTCCTGAATACTTTTTTTCAGTCATTTCTGTTTTTCACAGTCTGTTTTTGGTCCGTCTCTGCAGGAGAAACCTCCCCGGAGACAGACCGAAGGCTCTGGACATCATGCTGCCGTTGGTGAACTCGGATGAGCAGGTGGCGTCGGATATCTATTGCCTGGTAGGCCGAATCTATAAGGATATGTTCCTGGATTCCCATTTCACCGACACAGATAGCAGAGATCAAGGCATTCGCTGGTGAGGACACGAGTGTGAATCTCATTCAAATCGCATTTCACACCAAAATCAAAATGATAATTTGCTTAAAGAAAATAAAGTCTTTTTGTAAGACCGTTATCTTTTTTGGTGACGTTTTTGTGAGATTCAACAATAAAATGGCCATGGTAACAAACATCCCTTCAGTGACATTGCCTCTCTCTCTCTCCGACTCCAGGTTTCGAGAAGGCTTTGAGTCGGAGCCCACGCTGCACTCTGGGATTAACTATGCGGTGCTGCTACTGGCCGCAGGACACCAGTTTGAGTCCTCCTTTGAGCTGCGTAAAGTAGGTACGTTTGATGGACCGTGTGGATAATAATGGCTTGAGCCACATGCAGTCAACCACTCCTACAAAAGTGATTGAGCAAACGTTTATTTATTTTACCATTGATGTCTGGTATCATTGAATGTACTTGTGGCAATGTAGGGATTGTGCAAGATCAACATACACTATATGGACAGAAGTATTGGGACACCTCACCACTACACCGACAGGGATGGTGCATTCTAAATACATAGACATTAATATGGAGTTGGTGCCCCTTTGCACCTATAAAGTGTCCACGGTTTTGGGTAGTGTTTCTGTGGGAATGTTTCCCCACTCATCCAGTAGAGTATCTGTGAGATCCGGCACCGACGGTGGACGAGACGTTCGCAGTCTCTGTTCCAGTTCATCTGAAATTATCCCTCCTCCACCGAACTCTACAGTTGGCACAATGTAGTCAGACAGGTCACGTTCTCCTGGCGAACCCAGACTCGCTCATCAGACTGCCAAACACACAATCGGACTCGTCACTCCGTAGAACAGGTTCCCACTGCTCCCGAGGCCTGTGGCGGCGTGCTGTACACCCCTCCGTCTGACGCTTGCTGATGCTCAGCCATGGAAACCCACTCCGCGAGGCTCCCGCCACACAGGTTTTGTGCTGATATGCCAGTGGACGTTTGTAACTCATCAGCTGTGGAGTCAGCAGAGCGTTGCTGACTTACTGACCCGCTCTGTGACTCTACAAGTACTGCTGTTCCTAAATCAGTCCCTCCAGAAAAACGCGATTATGCGATCACTGAATTCAATGCATAATCAGCCAAAGTCTGCATATTTATGCGGGGGTCGCATTTTTTCAAATACGCCGCACTTTCGCCTCATAAATTGCTGATTTCCGCGCAAAATATGCGGGGCTTGCATGATTTCATAATCCCCGCATTTTCGTCGCAAAAAAGTCACATATATCTGAGCAGAAAGTTGGAAAATGTTGCGTTTGCTTCACACAAGAGCAGCCGTTACCCCTGTTGCCATGGGAACGTTATGAAGTGACGTAATTACGCGATGTGAACATCATCGAAAAGCTGTAAAACAGGAGCACACTTTATTTTTAAATATTTTTTTATTCATTTTTACAGAAGTTGTAGCATATTCCTCTAGTAAAGCTACAGAGCTGGTTTGACTCATCAATGTTTTGTAAGTTTGATGTGTTGTAACGCGTTGTGTCGGGAAGAAAAATAGGGATAGCTCACGGCTGAAGTTATTGCAGAGGCCAGACAGACTCACGGAGACAACTCGCACTTTATTCCCAAATCGAACTCGTATAACTGTCAGTCACACGTTCTACCGTCCACATCGTTACTTAATAAACAAAATAAGATAAAAGAAGTAGCATCAAACAGAAATGACCCGCACACATGGGGTGTTCGAGGCGCACATACAATATAATAACGTTACTGCAGACCGTTCAACAGGGAGCGCGCAGCTCTTAACCCTCTGGGGTCTGAGGTGTTTTCGGGGTCCTTGAGATGTTTTGGTATGCTCTGACATTTCTGCTTTTTTCAGTTGCTTATAAACATATTAATGGCACAGGTGAAATTACACTCTATATAGCACACACAGGGCTACCATAATATGTGAGCAACATGTATGTACATGTTTGTATTTTTGAGAGAATATTGTTTATGCGTGGTTATTGAAAAAAATAAAAAATAAAGTTTCTAATATAAGGCCACAAATAACATACTAAATATTTGTCCACAAGACTTTTGACTAGTGGATGTTGTCGCCTAGAGTTTTTGCTTCAAATTGATCTGAAAATCATTCTGCCTAATCATTCACATAAAACAATAGATTGTTTTAAATTGTGAAAAACATTTTTTGTTTTTTTCAAAGGCAATATGCGGATGGGCGGAACGGCCCAACCCCCTCATGAATAATTAGGCAGTTCTCACCTGAGCAGACTGCATACTAATGAGCCTTTCATTCAGGGGTGTCACACAAGAAAGAATGCAAGGACAATATATATATATAAATGAAAAAATATTTATACACACACACACACACACACACACACACACACACACATATATATATATATATATATATATATATATATATATATATATACAAACAATCAAAATATAAATGAAAGCCAAAAGCACATTTTTAGTCACACCTTTTAGCCATCCACATACCATTTTTAGCCATCCACCGCGGTAAAAATAAACCAGTCGCATTTCAAAGTCGTTCGCGAAACGACCGCCAGGTGGCGCAAAGGGACATTTAGCAAAACGTACGTGGGGCTAATGTCTGTAGCCTAAGGATGAAATACTACAAGTTATGGTAATTTCCAAATAAGCCTACAACAAACATTTATAGCCTACTCCGTAATTGTTGGTCATACAGATAAGATATAATCTTTTAAAACTTTAAAAGGCTAAAGTATAGGCCTACACTCACAGGCTAAAGACAAAACGTTTTCTCGCTCATGTGAGAAACAGACGTTTGGGTATTTCTCAGTGAGAAAATTCAAAGCCGAGCGGTAGAACTTACGGTTCATCATCAAGATGACACGGGTTCAAATCCTGCATAAACATGGTCTGCTGTAAATTTTATATTTATTTAGATTTGTCTAGCTCTAAAACTCTGTTACACCATACAGTTTTTTTTGCTTATATTTATAAAATACAAATATCATGCATTTCCATTTTACACTAAGGAACAAAATAGTATCCAACAGAACGACTTTGCATCTGTATAATAATAGGCTACCAATCGTAATTTCAAAAGCAGTTCTGTAAAAAAATTAATTATATATAGCATATATATATACTATATATATATATTTTTTTTTCAGGGCTGCCAACTCTCACGCATTGAGCGTGAGACTCACGCAATTGACCCAAATCTCACGCTCTCACGCCACACCCCCGATTTCTCCCGCTGAAGTGTCAACCCGGTCGGTCAAATTCCTAAAAGATATAGTTTATCTATAGATCTACCTGTTGAGCCACTCGTGATCGACTAGTTATACCACAAATTAGTTCAAATATCCCGTAATCTATCTAGAGCGAGCGTGCGTGCGAGACAGATATTGTGCTCCAAACCATGCGCGCGCATGGCAGAGAGGTCTGTTCCCTACAACCTAGAGTTTTTAAAAACATGGTTTTAAGTAAAGTGTGATTTGCCAAGGGGGACTAGGGTTTCCTTCTGGTCTAAACATCCCTGCTTCTGCTGAATTATTTTAATCCCCGCCGTAATTTTTTGGTCATACAGATAAGAGTAGAGTAGCTTACATCATTCAAAACTGTAAACTTGTATTCATATAGGCTAACGACAAAAACAGTATATCTGTCGTCTCTGTCTCCGGGAACTGCGCGTCACAAAAATGAACCGAAAGCCACTTCAGCTCAGTCACGATAAGAAATCGGCTATGTCTAAAGCCTTTAAATGTCTAAATATTTAGGCTAATAAATGTTATCTGATTATGTAGGCTAATCCATATGAAAACGAGAGGTACAGAGGATCTACTCAAACATGTAATGGAAGCGCTTCCCAATGAGAAAATGACAAGACAAGGGTGAAAATCTCGCTCTAATTAAATGTAGGCTAAATCGCCCTGAATTAAAATGTAAAAACAGATCAAATAATGTATTTGTCGAAATGTTGCGATATTGTTTCATTTAAGTTCATAATTATTCTATAAATGTTATTTAATTTAGCAGCATTACCACGAAGCACCGTGTTTCGATATTTATTTGAATAATACAAAATAAAATAAAACTTAATTCACAAATTGCATGCCTGGTTGTAAGGATCCAAAGATCCCTGTAGACTTTAATATTGAGTTGAACATTTTGTTCATGACAACAAATTAACAAGCGTTTTTTCAGATTATATTTAGTTTTGCTTGGAAAAAGCTGCCCCAAACCAGTTTTATTTCATCAATTATTGAAATAATGAAATATTTAGTAATAAACTTTTATGACAGAAATATCACTAGGCTACATGTAATTCCATTTAATTCCTTCATTATCAACACTGTCTAGAATAGCGATTTAAGTGTGAATTGCGACTTCTCTTTGTGTTAAGTCAGCCTCAGACTCCGATAGCCTGTGGGGGGTTGAAGGGACAGTTGCTGGACAAAGGTGTTAATGTTCCTCTTTCATATGGAGAGTGTCGGATAGCCAGCCTGATGAGCAGGCAAAATTATTGTAAGGATAAATCTGTGTCCAAATGTAGGCCCCATATCTTATTAAATTATAAATATTGTAGTTTATTTATTGTAGCCTATTTAAAGTTTTTTTTCACACAAAATATCAATTGAAGTTATTGTAAGGTGAATTCAACAAGGCATGCTGTGTCTTTGAAGCAACAATTAAAGGCTAAATAATTTTTTCGTGATTTGTATGGCTGACACGCAGCGACATATACAGTATTATCAGCTGTATGATGTGTTTTTACCCTGAAATGTTTAATTTCGAGAGAGAGACCCGCGCGCGCAGCGAGGGAGACTAAATAAACTTGTTAAAAAGAGATCCAGCGCGAGAGAGGCAAAGAAAAACGCATGTTTTTAATTTAATTATGTTTCTTTGGACAATTTTCGTTTTGTACTGTTTTAATTGTTTAATTTAGCTGTAATTTCTTTGGCAATACAAATTTAAAATGTCGCAAGAATAAGATTAGCCTAGAGTTTCTTATTTTGCATCGCAAAAGAAATAAACTCTTAACCCGATGCAACCCTGTTTTAAATTAAAAAATTTAAACCTTGAAATGTTCGAACTTGGTTTCAAACTTAAGTAATTTTAGTGTTCTTTTACATTACACAATAATTTAGCAGACTAAAGACGAGCTTCTTCATTTTCATTTTCTGATGCAATCGGCTGACAATCTTCCTTCATCAGTTTTTATCGTTTGTGCAGCGGCTGCGGTTCTACAGGAATGTAGAACCTCACTCTTGAACAAAACTCAACACACAAGAACAAAACTCTTGACTTTAAATAAGTAAACAGATATAAACAGTTACCTATTTAAGCATCAAGGTGGGAAAATATAAACGCTGTAGGACAACATCGGTTAACAACATGTATGCTACATTGAGATTCGATCTCGGGTGGATTGAAGCTCCTCGAAGCTCGTGTTGTTGCGTTGATCACTGAGCTACCGTCTGTACACTGATAAAGTTGTAAAGCCTCATTCATGTAGCCTAAATGTTTTTATTGCAATGTTTTATGTTGAAATGTTTTCATTATTTATTCAATTAGATTTCAGTAGCCTAATTTCAGTATTGTGATTATGAATTATTTTAACTACGTTTCACTTGTTGAATTCTTCTGCTACCAGCTTTCAATCGCTCTGAATCAGCGCGGTGCGGCAGCAGATTACACATTAGAGAGAATAAACCGGAATAAACGAACACTTTTCAGAGTCTAAGATTGTAGCGCCTCTTAGCGGTAAAAGGCAGCAAATATACCACACATTTTACCGCCGCGGTGGAACGGCTGATGTGGGCATTGTCATGGCTTGCCGACATTTGCGTTTGAATAGCGCGCGTCCTCCGTGGGCGTGTCAGATTAACGCGTAATGAAGTGTAATGAGCTGGGGAAAAAATACTGACAGCACTCTTTTTTCATACAGATTGCATAAACTGAGAATATTTGTTTTTTATATAAATTACTTCATTTAAAAGAAGAGAATTCAAGCTTCATAAAGAAAAATCTCTCGTGCCTGTGTGACAAGTATTCGCGGAGTTACAGTTAATCTTAGGACGCGTTTCAGAATGGACTTCACTGACAGAGAGAACGCAGAACTCGCATCATGTTTGTTTTTCTTTATTTGGTGAAAAGCACAACACTTTGTTTTTATTGTGAGTATCCACAAAAAAATAGAAACTTAACAGGATCTAATGATGTATCGCACTTATATGTAAGATCAAAATCAACCGAGTATTTTGAGTCTCTTTTGCACTGATAAGAAAAAAAAAGCGAGCAGATCACGCCGGCGCGATAGCCGACCCCAGGGGGTTAAAGGGGCCACACCTTATTTCCACTCGTTACAGTCTGAAATAAAACAAGATGAGAAATTAAATATTCCAGCACTTTCTGTGATGTAGTATGTTTACTTATCATAGGAAGTAATAAGAAATGACTCTTTACATTAAGGTAGTAGCCTAGTGAGAACAGGGTGTTGGGGGAATCACTTTTTTTCTCTTTTTTATCAAACTGCAGTTTTTGCAAGTTCCCGCAATTTCATCGCATAAAATTGCATAAATATCCCGCATATTCCATCGCATTTTTAAAGAAAACGGGCCGCATAATCAAGGATTTTTGCCCGCAACAATCACAAAAAAACTCCTGGAAGGACTGATAACCACTTCCACTTTCCAATAACACCACGTACGGCTGACCATGGAATATCTAGCAGGGATGAATTGTCATGAAGTGACTTATTGCACATCCTATCACAGTCCCACGCTTGAGTTCACCGTGCTCGATGTTGTAAACTGCATGGCTAGCTGCTTGATGTTATACACCTGTGGAAATGGGTCTGATTGAAACATCTGAATTCAATTATTAAAAGCTGTGTCCCAATACTTTGTGTCCATATAGTGCCTTTCTTCTGTCAGAAAGTACTTTACTTCACATGTTAGACATTCACTGGCCATTTTACTTCACATCCTGTTTTACTGCAGTAATGTGGCATATTTCAAAGGGAAACAACATAACCTGCTAAAGCAACATTTTAGGACTGTATTGTTTGGATGGGGAAAAGTTGGTATTAAATTTCAGAATGATGAAAACCAGAATTCATAATCGACTGTGGAGAGGATGAAAATGTTGTTTGTTGATATTCAGTAATACACAGCATTCTTATTATTACTGCACTCGAGTACATTTGTCCATCCAATTATTTGCAATGAACCGCAGAATTAGACTGATCCATTCACTAGTGTATATATTATAAAAGTATGGAATTATTCATATATTTATGTTTTTGTCAGAAGTCTCTTATGCTCACCAAGGCTGCGTTTATTTGCTTTTATATAAAAGCATTTATATAAAAACTATAATATTGTGAAATATTATTACAATTTAACATAACTCCCCTCAGAAATCAGTCAGCTTATACGATGCTCAAGAAACATTTCTGATTATTATCAATGTTGAAAACAGTTTTTGCTTATTATTTTGTAGAATTTTTTTGTAGTTTGGAGTCAGTAAATAATAATAATACATTAATAATAATTATAAATCTTTATTTCAGCAAGGAGGCAATAAATTGATCAATGAGATATATCTAATGTTACAAAAGATTTCTATTTCATTTTCTATCCATCAAAGAATCCCCAAAAATGTGTATTGATTTCCACGAAAATATTAAGCAGCAAAAACTGTTTTTGACAATTATTAATGATGGTTTTTGTTATTATTATCAATGAGTACCAACGATAATTGATGATTGAGAATTAATTAAGAATGATTTCTGAAGGATCATGTGACACTGAAGTCTTTATTTTAAAATCATGGATTACTTCTGAGAGATGTTTTATTCGTTAAGACTTTTAGTAATTTTTTTTTGTAATTTTTGCTTTTTTGATTGTCTGCTTTTCCCCCCTAATTGTGCAAACACAGTGTGTTTAATAAATTGTATATTAATGTTGGCATTACTCTTGATTCTGGCTAATTAATAAAGAGTGCCCTCCTTTCTCAAATAGATTATACACAATAGAGTAACTAACAACTATATATATTGCAGGGTATATATGTAATGTGCACTTCTGTGTGTGTTTTGTAGGTGTGAAGTTGAGCAGTCTGCTGGGGAAGAAGGGCAGTCTGGATCGATTGCAGAGTTACTGGGACGTGGGTTTCTTCCTCGGGGCTAGTATTCTCGCCTGTGACAACACACGCGTCATCCAGGCCTCCGAGAAACTCTTCAAAATCAATGCACCCATTTGGTACGTGCACACGTTCACATTTTACACGCATTGTTTAAAATAATCTGAACAACTAATGATTAGTGTTTGCTAAGGCATCACTATTGTTATTGCTCATACTTTAGGAATTTAAACAAAAAACAATGTTCAGGGAAACTATGATTTCCAGGCCAGGTCATGGATATTATTAAAATCTTTTATTTAGTTATAAAAAAGTCAAGAAAATGAATTACCTATAGTACTGTAAATATGCTAATTAGGGCTGTCAGTTAAACGCGTTATTAACGGCATTAATGCAAACCCATTTTAACGGCGTTAATTTTTTTATCGCGCGATTAACGGCCTTTTTGGACTAGCAAACTTTGTAGTTTTTTTCCACATGCTTTTGCAACAGGACGCGGCATGCGAGGCGCGGCGCTAGGAAACCCATTCATTTCAATGGCTTGTGCCGTGCGAGGACGTTTTGAAAGCGCAAGCGGATCTAGCTAGACCGGAAACAAAACAACAGGCACACCGCACACACTTGTTTGGGCTTGCGAGCCGGCCAAATAGTTGGTTAACGTTATGTTTTGAGTGGATGACGAGCGCGAGACGCCGAAATGGATGCCAATAAGATTCTGAATGGAAAGTTTACTTTTAAAAAGTTGCCAAATGGTTCCATTGACGAGACCAAAGTGATCTGTGTGTTTTGTCGTTGTGAACTGAGCTATCATCATCGCAGCACGTCCAGTCTGAAATACCACTTGATGATGGCCAAGCACACACACACACACACACACACACACACACACACAGCTTTGTTTTTGTGATATATGAGGACATTCTATAGGCGTAATGATTTTTATACTGGACAAACTGTATATTCTATCCCCCTACACTGCCCCTATCCCTAAACCCACCCATCACAGGAGACATGCTGCATTTTTACATTTAAAAAAAAACATTGTTTTTTATGTTTTTTAAGCTATTTGAAATATGAGGACTCATGCAATGTCCTCATATATCACGTGTAAGTTGTAATACCAGTGTAATATGCATGTCATTATACACATTTGTGTCCTCATATATCACAAAAACAAACACACACACACACACACACACACACACACACACACACACACACACACACACACGCAGCTGATGCGAATCCTCCGCCCCTTCGTCAATATCAAGACCTCGTCAGTATTTCTTTCACCCTTTTATTGATGGACAGTGTTACATTGTGAGATTATTTGCGAATGTTAGTGTGAATTTGAACACAGTTTATGGCAATGTTGTTTTCAATAAAAAACATTTGCACAAAGCAAGCCGATCCACTTTTCCATGTTGATAAGAGCATTAAAATGAGAAAAAATAATGGGACAAAAAGAAAACAAGAGACATTTAGAATAGATAAAAATGTGCGATTAATCGCGAGTTAACTATGACATTAATGCGATTAATCGCGATTACATATTTTAATCGTTTGACAGCACTAATGCTAATATTACCTATAGTACTGTAAATATGCTAATATTACCTGTTTTACATCGATTTTCCTAGTTGCACATCAATAAAATACTTGCTTCCTGCAATCTTTATAAAATGATTTTAAATGATCCAATAATCACAAACAACTAGAAGAATCACGTAAAGGTCATTCATTGGTCAATTTTTCTGATTTTTTTACCTGGACAATTATTAAATGGGCAAATAAAACAAAACTTTGACTCAGTTAAACTCTAGGAGAAAACTGAGCCAACACACAAACTTGTAGTCCAATTTTGAAGAGGCAAACACTTCAGAAAATGTCCGTTAAAAAATGACTCATAGTTGTAGTGTTTTTAGAGTACTGTTTATTAATGAATGTGTTTGTGCTTTGTGTGTTTCAGGTATCTGTGCTCCCTGGTTGAGACCATCCTCATCTATAAGCACTTTACGAAACCAAGCACCGATCCGCAGGCCCCTAGACAAGAGCTTGTGGACTTCTGGATGGACTTCATGGTGGAAGCCACCAAAAAGGATGTGACATCAGTCCGTTTTCCTGTATGACCCCTCTTAAACACACTGACTGTTACACTGCGTTGCCACTCAAACATTTTCAAGTACACCACAAAACTCCTATTAAATGCGCCATTTAAGACGCATAGTTTACATGCATAGAATGATGCTCTGCAAAAAACATACAGGAATAAACCCTTTTCTAAAGTGCATGCACACAGTCATTTGAACACTAGAATATATATATATATATATGTACACACATTCAACACTGTGCAAAAGTCTTTGGCACGCTGGTATTTTAACCCCAAAAAATGGGTTTAATCCAATTATTTATATATTTTGCTGTAGTGTTGTTACTAAATACTTCATTAAGGCCTAAAGCCGAGACAGGATAACATGTTTCCTATACAGTATTTGAATGATACAATCCCAGAATGTGTTGCGAAGACTGAACTGAATTATTTCATACTTTTGTCCAGTTCACAATATTCACGTGTGCTGATTATGTTTTGTGCTAGTCATAGTTTTGACTAGAGACACTGCCTAAGACTGTTGGAGATGAATGGCTTGTAAAGCTTTGGCTGTAAATGTTGCTTGTGTTGTGCGCAGGTATTGATACTGGAGCCCACTAAAGTCTACCAGCCATCTTACCTCTCCATAAACAAAGATGCCGAAGAGAACACGTTGTCCATCTGGCACGTGACCCCTGATGACAAAGTAATACATTTGATTAATTCTCTAAATCCTTCAACATTACTGTCTTGGTTTAAGCCCTAACCCAATTATTATTTTAATATCCAACCATTGGTTAAAGCCATTGTTTTGTATGTCCAGTCTTAAATCATAGTTAAAGTCTAGAGTCGTGTTCTAGTAGTCCTTTTAATATTTTTCTATATCTACAGGCTCTCAGTCAAATAAATTCAGTTTGATCAAATTTAAGGTCACAAAATGTATTAAATATCTTAAATGTTACAACAAAAGTCTTAATTATCATTTTAGTTCTCAAATTTGGGGATGGAAAAACAGGAGTCACGATATGGCTGAATGTCATTATTAAACGATTTGAATTAGTATGAGTGGTGCATTTTCGAGGTAAACATGTCTTCCTCTCTCTGTGTCAGAACGCCGGGATCCACGAGTGGAACTTCAGTGCGGCGTCAGTGCGAGGCGTGAGGTAAAGCCTGATAGAGCTCCAGTAAACCGGAAGAAAACCCTGTCACTGAAGACATGAGTGACCTGTGGGGGTTCTGCAATGAACAGCCGTAGCTTTAAATATGTTGTGTATTTTAACACAAGTAGAACACTGAATCATTAAACACTGAACACTGAATTAAAGCGTGTAAAGTTAAATATAGCTGTTGATTTTTTTTTATTTAACACATTCAGCATCTCCAAATGTGACGAGCGCAGCTGTTTCCTGTATGTGGTGAACAACTCGGAAGACTTCCAGATCTATTTCTGCACAGATATGCACTGCAAAAAGTATGTGTGTGTGTGTGTGTGTTTGCAAACGGCTTCTTTTTTCCACATTTCATTCATTCTTCCTTACAATGCCATAGACAAACTAAAGACAGAAATTGCACATTTGATTGTCTACTTGAGTTATTTTAGAAACTTACAATGCACCGGCCATTCATTGAATCTACTGCTAAAAAGCAATTATCTGCGGGAATTAGCTGATTGTTAAAAAACAGACAATTATTTCCTGTCAGTCAAAAGAGATGTGAGACAGAGATACAGTCTCATGCAGTGACTAAAATGTCTCCGTCTGTGGTGAAAAAACAGCATAGTTATAGTTTTGCCGTTGTTACGCTACATTAGCTGTCTGTGCCGATTAATGCCTTCCTGCAAATGTTCCCGTTAATATCAACAAATATTTATACTATGTGTAGGCCATGTTAATGATAATGGCAGCATCCTAAAACACGCTCCTAGAGTGTGTTTTGGGCTTTTTGCTTGATCGTCTGTATTGAGTGCATCATCTAATAAAGCCAAAAACACGACGCTGATTTTTCAGTGTGGCGAAATGTGATGTTTCCTCAGCACTTCATTTATGTGCCACCACTAACTTAAAGGGGTCATATAATGCCATTTTTGTACAAGCTAATATTATTCTTTAGGGTCTAAATGAAAAGTTTGTAATATACTTTAATTAAAAATTCTCATTAGTATTGTAAGAAAACACTTATTTTACCTGGTCAAAAACAGCTCTGTTTTCAGCACGCCGTTTCAGTGCATATGACTTTAAATGATCATGAGCTTTGCTCACCCCGCCCCTCTGTTCTGTTCGTACACCGTTTGTAACACAATAACCATAACGCGTTGTTCATTATAAACGTGGGATTATGAATTATATTGTGAACATCATACATAGAAAACATGCCGTAATGTACCCTGAGTGTAAACCTTAGACGCATTCATAGTGAAGCGTGCAGCTAGCGATTTACAAAGATTAATATATTAATATAAAGTTTAATAAAACGTTACACTCACTTCAGTTCTTCTGGAGATTCAGCAGGAACACGAATAGTTGGTACCGATCCTTTATTCAGGAGCAGCTTCTTAGCAAAACCAGCTTTATACTGACCCTCGTTTATAAAGCAGTCTGGTGAGAAATGATTCGCGCAAACATGAACGCATTGACGTTGCTCGTGGGGAATATTCCCTTCGAAAACAAACTCAGCCACTGCGTCTTCAGCGGTTCGGATTTAGGAACATTAAAATGACTGTGTTCGTTATTACACCCAAGAACAGAACACCACAATCGCTGAGACGCCATTCTGCTCATAGACAGTGCTCCAGCACATCAACAATGACCGCGCCGGTCCGCGCAGACTATGATTGACAGCTGGCTCATGAGCGAGGGCGGGTCTGTGTTGAAACCCGGCTGTCAATCAACAATCGTGGGAGGGGCTTCCGAGCGTGTGACGTCACACGGTCGAACGGCTCGATTTGAGGCAGGGGAAAACATATATGGAGATTAAAACAAAACCACTGGATGGATTTTTATCATTATATGATGTTTGTGTACAGGCACTGCCAACACACATTTCAGTACAATCAACTTGTAAAAGTGCATGAACCATTATATGACCCCTTTAAACATACACTATCAAAACGTGAACTAGTGGTATCAGCAGATGTTTTTCTACATAATTGAATATTATCATATGTGCACTAGTTTTGTGTATCCCTACTATGAAGGTGTAAAAGTTTAATCTTTGTGTATTCAAAGGATAATCATACACATAATCCGAGGTTTTGTCACTGTGTGATATTTGACGATGGTTGTGTGTTGCGTAGGTTCTGTGATCTGGTGAACGCTCTCACTGAGGAGGCCTGGAAAGGCTCAGATGAGGCCGAGTGTGAATCAGAGGCTTTAGAGGTAACATTATAATCCAGACATTTCGTATGTTACCCGAGAAAGTTTCTTGAAATGTATTTTTTCATGCATTTGCTATACGTAGTTCTAAAGATCATAGCACACGTGGTTTGTGTGTTTCTGCAGTATGATTACGAGTACGATGAGCATGGAGACAGGGTGGTTCTGGGTAAGGGCACGTTCGGTGTCGTCTACGCCGGGCGGGACCTCAGTAACCAGGTGCGCTTAGCCATCAAAGAGATTCCCGAACGGGACAGTAGGTGAGGAAATCCACTTTCAAATCCCATTTCCGTTTGGATAGGTATGCCTGTCATCATTTCTGACCGTTATTGAATAATACTATAACTATAGTAACATTTCTCATTGCACAGCCTGGTGAACCTTGCTCCTATTTAACTAGAAATGAAAACACAACACACTAAACATTTCAAGCATTCAGGGATGTGTTAACTGTGTTGAATTTTGATGTCCTGTATTGAATCAATATGGGATGCAATTTGCAATTTATGGGATGCTATGAACACAGAATGACATGATATAAAGTAAAATAATCAATTTCACAAGGAATGGCAATAGCAAGAGAGGCAGAGCACGACAGGCATGTTCGTAGTGACGGAGCTTTTGTATAAATATACATATATACTATAAATAAATATGCAATATTCATGTGTGCTTTTGAGGGTGTTATCTGACGGCTGTGTGTTGGTAGATACTCGCAGCCTCTGCATGAAGAAATAGCCCTGCATAAACACCTGAAGCACAAGAACATCGTGCAGTACCTCGGCTCCATCAGCGAGAACGGCTTCATCAAGATCTTCATGGAGCAGGTGCCCGGAGGTGAGGCGACGTCTGAACCCCGTACACTCCTCTCTCACACTCAGGGTTATTCAAGCGCTTGTGTTCTCCTGTGAACCGCAGGCAGTCTGTCAGCATTGCTCAGGTCAAAGTGGGGCCCTCTGAAAAACAATGAGCCAACTATCGGTTTCTACACCAAGCAGATCCTGGAGGGTCTCAAGTACCTGCACGACAACCAGATCGTTCACAGAGACATTAAGGTAATCATCCTTCATCTGAAGTCTGGGGAACTGTATCTTAATTGTGAGATTGATTATCTTGCTTCCGTGACACACAGGGGGATAACGTCCTGATCAACACCTACAGTGGAGTCCTGAAGATCTCTGACTTTGGGACGTCCAAACGTCTGGCCGGAATAAACCCCTGCACTGAAACCTTTACTGGTACTGAGTGTGTTTCTTTTCACTTAACCTTTTATCAACAGCAACTTGATATTGCTATAGTTACTATACCTTATTACTCAAATGTTCAGTGCTGGTTGTGTATTTCAGGGACGTTACAGTACATGGCTCCTGAAATCATAGATAAAGGGCCTCGTGGGTACGGTAAACCGGCAGACATCTGGTCCCTGGGCTGCACCATTATAGAAATGGCCACTGGGAAACCGCCTTTCTATGAGCTGGGGGAACCGCAAGCTGCGATGTTCAAGGTCAGCACCCGTGCCAATCATCCTGAAGTCAATGTGTGCTCAATTTAACACTAAAGGGTCTACACAAAATCCACACTATTTGCTTTTAGATTTTTTTATGTGCTTTGTGAAACATTTGAATGCAATTTGGCATTTAGTAGTTTTCCAATGGTTTTCAAACTTCTAGGAAAATGTGGTTCTAGGAAAACCTTTCATTGCTGTTATCATGAGCTCAAGAATAAGTTTGACCATTTCACAAAATAACATTTTTAATCGTCAAAAGAAGCTTTTGATTTGCAGCACAGGCTTTACAGTAGCTAGTGCTTCATATCCATATAAAACGGTCATTTTAAACGGATTATTACATGGATTGTGTAATCGATCTAGATTATGTCATTATAATAGCATTGTAATTGACTCCTAATGGCTTAGAGAAATGTACGAATGACATGAAAGCCGTGAGAATATTGTGTTTGGTATTGGAAAGAGTTGTGGAAATGCTTTTGTATGGTTGTGAAGGTCGGGATGTTTAAAATCCATCCGGAGATTCCTGACTCCATGTCGTCCGAAGCCAAAGCATTTATCCTGCGCTGCTTCGAGCCGGACCCAGACAGCCGAGCCACGTCCATCGATCTACTCACACATGAATTCCTCACTGTTACGTCACGCAAGAAACGCTCCAAGAACAACAATTTCACAGGTGTGTTATATGGACAATACAGCAATATATGCAACTGGTACATTTCATGAATTAGGGGACTAATAGGAAACTGTTATCTGTTAGATTAAGCTATTATTTAACAAAAACAACATGGCATTACATTTTTTTTAACGTGCTTTAAAAAAAAAAAGTATCACCCCCTCCCCACCCACTCCTTTAAAATGGTGTCCATCGAATCCATCGAATAAAATAGTGGCGTACAGTATTTTGACAGTTGAGTTTATTGTGTATATATAAATATAAACTCGGTTAGCACTTAATTAGAAAATGCTACCCTACTTAAACATCTTACACCCAAGGAGTGGCATCATTCGGATAACATGATGGGAAGACAAGTAAATCTAAATTTCCAAATTACAGAACTTATTAATAAATAAATACCAAAATTAAGATTGAATTATCGTTAATATATTAATATTTGGTCCCAACTAGCTTGGCCAGAATCTGCAACCTCTATAGAGTTCAATGGAACTTGCGACCATATTGTTTTTTTTTTTGTTTTTTTTTATAAATCAATTTTACCGATTTACAGTCATAATCCCCATTTAATGTTTATTGTTGCATTGAAATCGCACAGTTGGGTTTTGAGATTTAGACATTTAGACACATAAACTGCATTGAGACATGAAGCAAATTAAGAAGTGCGATAGCTCTGGAGTTGTGGACGGATCATTTCAGTGTTTATGATGGAAAGTGTTCGCTATCAAACCTGGAAATAAGACCTGGTAAAAGCTTGGGTAACACTTTACTTGAAGGGGTGTGCATAAGACTGACATGACACCTTCATTATCATGACATGACACATGTTATGAATATGAAGGAAGTTTTATGCATGTTTATGACAACTGTCATTAAGTGTCATTTGCTCAATTATGACATTTTTAATGCAAATATGACATTGTTTAAGATGTCTTTGTTATGACACCTTGACATAAACCAATACATCATAACCTGTCAGTGTCTTTGTCATGAGAACTTGACATTACTAAGACAACACAACCTGTCATAAACATGACATAGCAGATTAATTATCAAACTTAAGAAACCACTTAGCTTTATGGGTTAACATTACATTAAACTGTCATGTAGTTGGTTTTGACATTGGCTGTCATGAAGCCATTATAACTGTTTAATGACAAATTCAAAGTGTACCACTGTAGTCGAGGTCACGAAAAATATTCATGACACAGTTATAATGGCCTTATGACAGCCAATGTCAAAACCAACCACATGACAGTTTAACTTAATTTAATGTCAAGTTGTCATGACAAAGACACTGACAGGTTATGATGTTATGGTTTATGTCAAGGTGTCATAACAAAGACATCTTAAACAATGTCATATTTGCATTCAAAATCTCATTATTGAGCGAAAGACACTTAATGACAGTTGTCATAAACATGCATAAAACCTCCTTCATATTCATGACATATGTCATGTCATGGTTATGAAGGTGTCATGTTAGTCTTATGCACACCCCTTCAAGTAAAGTGTTACCAAAGCTTGTCTCTTTGCTGCTTGTATTGTGAATTGTCCTCTCATCTCTTGTGTTTTTTTTTATATACAGCTCTTACACCAGGAACTGGTGAGTCTATTTCAAAGCTTATTGTCAGTGTTCAATTGTACACTATTTTGTTGTTTTATTCCTTCTCTTTTCTTATGTTTATGATAATAACCTGGCTGTAAATGTAGTCAATATTCATGTTTAGTCATGTTCATTTTACTCGTTACTCGATGTACAAAATGGAAAAATATACATTAAATTGAAATGTGTCAAATATAGAAATGATTTATCAACATAAAACAGCATTTTATTTATTTATACAAAACACTACGAAAAGTTGGTTTTATGTAGCTAGCGGTCCATAGGGAAACACGGATCTGGTCTACAAAGATTCAAATGAAATGATTGTTCATCAATGACCTTTTTCATGGGCCGTTCTACAGAGGATAGTTGAGAGCTGTGGAAGAGTGTGTGATGTCTTTATGCTCATGTGTCGTAGAGTATCTGCGCAGCATATCTCTTCCCGTCCCCGTGGTGGTCGAGGACACGAGCAGCAGCAGCGAGTACGGCTCGGTCTCGCCTGACAATGAGCTCTGCACAAACCCCTTCAACTTTAAACCCAGCACCAAGTGCTACAGCGAGAGAGAGGTCAAAGGCCACCGCTCGCTCTTCCTGAGGTCATTCCAGCTTAAATACACCCTTTTATTCTGCATTCAGTGTATCTGCTTTTAGTAAACCTGTAAATCTACTCCAGTATTCCTGTGGAGAACTTTGAGGACCACAGTGCACCCCCTTCTCCAGAAGAGAAAGACTCTGGTTTCTTCATGCTGAGGAAAGACAGTGAGAGGAGAGCGACTCTTCACCGGATCCTGATCGAGGACAAAGAGAAAATAGTGCTTCACCTGCTGGAGGCGCTGACACAGGTGAGCCCGAGCACTGTGCGCTTGTGTTGCGCGTCTTGTCACTCTCATACGCTTGTGTGATTGGCAATAGGCACAATATGTAGGTTTTTTTCACCACAAGAGGGCGCAGTTTCCAACAATAACACAGGCGTAGGTTGATGACGCAGTGATGAGCTGAATGATGGGACTTGCTGTCAAGCTGATGGATCTAATAATGTTTATGGATGAGTGCAAACATGTTTTTTAACATTACAGTGGTATGAAGCAGGTCGCGATTGCTAAAGAGACAGATATCACACGCGAGTCCCGCGGATATAAAGGAATAAGGACATTTAATTCTACCGAACTACCCGCGAGTGCTGGATTACTCACACAGGACAGTTTATTAGACGAATTAAACTTGTGAGGTAACGCAGCGCTGCTTCACTTGGTTTAACGTTACACTATCACACTAAACGGCATTTAAATGTGTGTTGAAAGTTATAATGTTAAACTACGTGTTAGTTCGTTTGCTATACGAAACTAGCCGTAAGCTAGATCAACATTAGAATAACATACTGACCATATTCTAACATTTCATCATGTTGAGCTAACGTTATATAACATTGATTTGTTTGTACATTTGCTCACCTGTCTAATAAAGCTGTCGTGACTCGTGAAGCTCTGGCGAGTCCAAGTTAGTCGCGGACGCTAGCTCTCGGCATCTCAAAAACGCCACGCTGATGTTGATCCTCGTTTTAGTTCTCCTTGTTTGTCCCAAAGTCTGCTTGCCATGGTCTATGTTTGAAAGAAACAAGAACCGCGTGCCGCTAAACGTTACGCACTAGCAGTTGTCCACGTCTGTCGCCATGGTTACGTCATGGCTACGGCGGTATGAGCGGGAACCGAGGATAGCGCGGATATTGCGTCATTGACAGGCGACATTTTTTTCCGGGGCGGCCACTTGTTTAAAACTGGAATTTCTCTGAAATAAAACATCTTTGGAGACTTTTGGGATATCGTAAGTACACAACTGCAGGAAATATATCACACTGTGCAAGTGATTTTTGGATATTTTATTACAAAATTCTTACATATTGTACCTTTTTAAGTATTCTTTAAACACAAGCCTGGTGACCGCAACTCAATAAAGTTGAGAGTTGCTTTTCTGGATGCTGATTGGTCTATACAGTGTAAAAAAGTATTCTGTCATCATTTGCTCTGCCTCATATCATTCCAAATCTGTATGCATTTCTTTAATCTGCTGAGCTGTAAATTGTTTGGAGATATTTTTAAGAATGTTGGTAGCTAAACACTTTTTCTTCAAAAAACAAACAAAAAAAAACAATAGAAGTAAATGGGAACCGAAATCATGTGGGTGTACTGTCCCTTTAACTTGCTGGCGAGGGACTAAGGCCTTGTGCACTAACAGCTCGCTCCAGCGCTTGACCCTCTGTTGGTGTTAAACAACTACTGTCAGGATTTAGTAAAGTCACGCAGTGAAACACTAGGGCTGGAAAGGCTATTTTCTCACATTATTGCATATGCTTTTGTAGGAGTTTCCCTTTCAGATGCAAAATTTATGGAAGGAGGGAATTTAAATGAATCAGGAAAGGTGATTTACTAAGGCCAATTTACTGGTGTTTGTGCCATTATTTACCGCCCAAAAAAAACAGTCGCTAACTTGTGCTGCTCTTGGTGGATTGTGTTGGTCATTATGGAAATGATCCGGCTGCGTCTGCCTGTTCAGTAGATTCACTTGCTGAACTTTCCACTCACATCTGTGCTTTTATGGGAATTATGATGCGTTTTGGTGAAAATTTCCGTCACATCAGAGAAAACAACCAAAAATCTCTAATAAGGTTGAATTAATGCAGTCCTACAGATTCTGTTGGTTGTTTGTGATTTAACAGTTGATTTGATGTCCCTTTTTGTGAGTGATTGGTGTCCCCCTTCTGCCTCTCTACAGGGGTCTGAGGAGACCAGACTGAAGCATCAGCATATCTCCATGCTGGTGGCCAGTCTGGGAGAGTTTGTGAGGATGGCGAACAGAAAGATCATTGCCGACACCCTCTCTCAGCTCAAACTGGAGCTGGACTTCGACAGCACAGCCATCAGCCAGCTGCAGGTGGCGCTCTTCAGCTTCCAGGATGCGGTGAGCGTTCAGACACAAGTCTTTTCTCTTACTGAATATCCTGCTTCATCTGAAACGGTCACATTACACAACTAAAATGAGTTCCCAATGCCATTTGATGTTGACTTGAAAAGCAAATGCTGATTTTTTCTTTTTAAAAAATAATTCTGATTGTCAAACTTTTGTGACTTTTTCTTAAAAGTTCACAATATAAAAGTAAATAGTTCTGTTATAATGTTTCTGCAGGTAAATAAAGTCCTGCGGAACCACAACATAAAGCCGCACTGGATGTTTGCCCTGGATAACATCATCCGGAAGGCTGTACAGACTGCCATCGTCATACTGGTACCTGGTAAACAGCGAACAGCTTCTTTATAGAAAAATCCCTTTTCTTGGCTGTTGGTCATGTAAGGCAGGGGATTTCGTAATCCGCGTTCAGACTGTCGGTCCAAATCCGATTTGAATCTGATCAGATTAAGCAAGTGTGAAACGCATAAATCACACAAAATGCTTTTTTTTTGTGCTAATGCTGCATTTATATGTGGTTTGAAATCATATTCAAATCGCATTTCTGTAAATCCGTTCCAGTCTGACCGCTCCGATCGGATTTTGCGTGGTTTATGTGTCTTTCTCGCGCCACATAAAACATAAACATGTTAGACGTTGTGATTGGAAACGTGCTGAAAGTCTCTGCAGAAACAAGGTTGTGTTGTTGCAAAGTGCAGATCGAGCAGAAAATGCCGATATAACAGAGACATGTTTGAGACGGGCGGAGAATAAAGCCGCTCACACCAGCCTCCTCCGGTTCTGCTGAAGAGCGGCGGATACACATTATCATGCTGTGAATAAGACAACATCTGTATTGTAAACCCCTTCATGTTGCTGTTGTTGTTGTTTTGGACGTATTCCTACCAAAACGTCATGGCATCGACACAAATCGGAGCAGAACAGTTGTGATACACAGTGTGGACATCCATCATTTTAGATCAGATTTCAATCGGATACACACATAATCGGATTTGGACTGACAGTGTGAACGTAGCCTAAAAAGCCCTATAAAACACATCACAGATTGGTGATCCGTGACCTGAGCTGGTGTCCAGTGAATGAGCTGTCCTAAGCGTGTGGTGCTGGGGAGGCTCCGGGAACAGGTCACTTGATGCAGTGTTTGTTGTTTGTTCACTCTCAGAATTGCGGCCACACTTCACGTTGGCGTCTGAGAGCGACCCCGCCGAGCAAGAGGACATTGATGACGACACGGTTCCTCAGGGAAACGCTGTGCCTAGCATAGCACCCGCCGTTCATCACGACGACACCGTGGCCACGTCTGGAGTGAGCACGCTCAGTTCAACCGTTTCCCATGAGTCTCAGAGCGCTCAGCGATCCATCAGCGTGGAGCTGGGGCGCATGAAGATAGAGACCAAGAGGTAAATGTTGGATTTTTTATCTTCAGCTTTAATATTAGTGATGGGAAGTCTGATTCTTTTCCGTGAACTGGTTCTTTAGGACAGTCCGTTTCAATGAACCGGTTCAAAAAATGATTCGCTAGTTTATTTACCTAATAACGCAATGATGTCATGTATATACAATAACACACAATATCGTGGATGTTTTACATGTCTAAAGCACATAAAGTGAATTAACTAGTCTTAATCAACTCACCTTTTTACTAGGGCTGTCAGTTAAACGCATTATTAACGGCGTTAACGCAAACCCATTTTAATGGCGTCAATTTTTTTATCGCGTGATTAACGGCCTTTTTGGCCTAGCAAACTTTGACGTTTTTCCACATGCTTTTGCAACAGGACGCGGCATGCGCGGCGCGGCGCTAGGAAACACATTCATTTCAATGGCTTGCGCCGCGCGAGGACGTTTTGAAATCGCAAGTGGATCTAGCTAGACCGGAAACAAAACAACAGGCGCGCCGCACACACTTGTTTGGGCTTGCGAGCCGGCCAAATAGTTGGTTAACGTTACGTTTTGAGTGGATGACGAGTGCGAGACGCCGAAATGGATGCCAATAAGATTCTGAATGGAAAGTTTACTTTTAAAAAGTTGCCAAATGGTTCCATTGACGAGACCAAAGTGATCTGTGTGTTTTGTCGTTGTGAACTGAGATATCATCATCGCAGCACGTCCAGTCTGAAATACCACTTGATGATGGCCAAGCACACACACACACACACACACACACACACAGCTGAAGCGAATTCTCCGCCCCCTCGTCAATATCAGGACCTCGTCAGGATTTCTTTCACCCTTTTATTGATGGACAGTGTTACATTGTGTGAGAGATTATTTGCTCCAAGTGAGAATGTTAGTGTGAAATTGAACACAGTATATGTCAATATTGTTTTCAATAAAAAACATTTGCACAAAGCAAGCCGATCCACTTTTCCATGTTGATAAGAGCATTAAAATGAGAAAAAATAATGGGACAAAAAGAAATCAAGAGACATTTAGAATAGATAAAAATGTGCGATTAATTGCGATTAATCGTGAGTTAACTATGACATTAATGCGATTAATCGTGAGTTAACTATGACATTAATGCTATTAATCATGAGTTAACTATGACATTAATGCGATTAATCGCGAGTTAACTATGACATTAATGCGATTAATCGTGAGTTAACTATGACATTAATGCGATTAATCATGAGTTAACTATGACATTAATGCGATTAATCGCGAGTTAACTATGACACTAATGTGATTAATCGCGAGTTAACTATGACATTAATGCGATTAATCGCGAGTTAACTGACATTAATTGCGATTAATCGCGAGTTAACTATGACATTAATGCGATTAATCACGTGTTAACTGACATTAATTGCGATTAATCGCGAGTTAACTATGCCATTAATGCGATTAATCGCGAGTTAACTATGACATTAATGCGATTAATCGCGAGTTAACTATGACATTAATGTGATTAATCGTGATTAAATATTTTAATCGTTTGACAGCACTACTTTTTACATAAACCATTAGAAACCATAAAAACATCCATTTTGCCACCGTATTGAAGTCAACTGCTCGGTTTACACAGGCTCGTTTCAGCAGCTCATCGGTTCCTCACAAACATGTCGGAGTCCGAACCGTTTCCTCCGTGTGACTCGAGATCTGTTGTGTCCATTAACCGTCTCTTGCTATCAGTACTGCTGTTGACTCCAGAACTACTGCCATCGGATCACTGTTAGATTTACTATAGGTTTGAGTTATCATGCTTTATGATTTCCAGAAACTTCCCCTGTATGAAACCCTCGGCACACAGTTCTTCTTGGCATGTCGGATGTGGGAAAGACTGTCCTCGGTTCAGTGGACTGTCGGACTAACTAAATATTGGCTCATTTCGAGGCGGAGTGACTGTCAGGCACGAAAGCGAGGTTTAGTTGAGCAACTTGTAGATGATAGTGCCGATTCGAGCCGCAAACGCTTTCAGACGGTCCAGTCCGATTTGGTGAGCTGGTTTAACCAATTCACTAAAAGAACTGGTTCAAAAGAAGGATTTGATAGTGAACTGGACATCACTATTTAACACACGTGTTTTTGTTCAGATGCGAATAATAGTGACAGAGCTGATGATGTTACAAATAAACAATGCCAGCTACCGTGCAAGTGTGACTGCGGTGTGCTGCGGGGGGTTGTTACCCTTTTACATTTTATGAAAGCAAGTGGTTAATGGCCTTGTCAAACCCAAAATATGTCAGAAAAGCGCCATAAAGGATCACATAAATTGTCCATATGACTCATTCTGTATTACAAGTGTACTGAAGTCATACGATAGTTATGTAGAACAGACCCAAGTCCTTATTCCACCGTAACTCTCAATTCTCGCAC